TGGCGTTGTCCCGGCGTGTGCGCCCGAGAGTGTGGCTGACCCTCTGGTATACTCATCTCGTGTGGTGTTTGAGATGGAGTTGTCGGTACCTGCAGGACATGTTGTCTTGGTGCCTTGTGCAGCTGTTGATGTGTGCACGGTTGCGATGGATTGCGTGGCAGATCCATTGGAGTCCTTTATGGCGAAGCATCCAGATGTGGCAGTGACTCCTAGTCTTGTAACTGTTGGCCCTAACCAAACACGTGTGGTTGTGGCTGTTGAAAATCATGCAAATCATCCTATACTCATTCATAAAAATACCAATGTTGCCGAACTTCATCAAATTCCTACAGATTGTGAACATATTGACGACACTGAAGCTATGGTTTCCTCAGTTTCACCCGACCCGATCCCGCTAACTGAGCAACGCAAGAAAGTCATCGATGAATATATCAACGCACAAAATCATCTCTCCACAGAACAGTCTCGCACGCTCACTGAACTACTTCATGATAACCACGATTTATTTATCTTGCATGATGATGACTATGGCTACTGTGACATATTCCCTCATAAAATTAACACAGGACAAAATGACCCTATAAAACAACCTACCAGGCGGATTCCATATCACCGCCGGAAGGCTCTGCAAGATCTACTGAATACGCTGTTAAAGCAAGGCATAATACAAGAATCGATTAGTCCGTGGGCATCACCCATAGTATTGGTGCCAAAGAAGGATGGCTCTCTTCGACTCTGTATCGACTACAGGAAGTTGAACTCTGTCACCGAGCCTGATGCTTACCCGATTCCCCGGGCGGATGACATGCTTGATTCCCTGTCTGGCTGTCGGTATTTCACGTCCCTTGACTTAGCGTCAGGGTACTGGCAAATAGCAATGGAAGGAAGCGACAAGGCTAAAACGGCATTTACCACGCCACTGGGCTTGTTTGAGTTTAATGTTCTGCCGATGGGCTGCAGGAATGGCCCAGCGACATTTCAGCGCGTAATGGAAGCAGTCCTGAGTGGCTTATGTAACACACCGGCCCAGCCATTCTGCCGTGTGTTCTTTGATGATGTCCTGAATGCCAGCGAAACGCTGTCTGGCCAACTCCAGATTCTGCTGCGCGTGTTCGCGCGAGTTCGGTCCGCTGGACTGCGGTTCAATCTGAAGAAATGCTCCTTCTTCCAGGAGGAGGTCACTTTCTTAGGACACCGCGTGTCAGCGGAGGGCATCTCCCCGGATGAAGCCAAACTCGTCGCGGTCAGGAACTGGAAGACTCCGAAATCTGTCACAGCTGTCCGCGAGTTCCTTGGCTTCGCTGGATATTATCGCCGCTTCATCCGTGGGTTCGCCCAGCGTGCTGCTCCGCTGACTGCTCTGACAGGCAAGAATGCTCGCTTTGCGTGGTCGAAAGCTTGCGAAGCGGCGTTCCAGGCTCTGAAGCGTTCGCTTGCCAGTGCGCCGGTGATGGCGTACCCCCAGTTTGAAGCTTCAGCAGGTGCATTCATTCTGGACACCGATGCGAGCAATGTGTCGATTGGTGCAGTCCTCAGCCAGATCCAGGATGGAACTGAGCGACCAATTGGGTACGGCAGCCGTGTACTGACGAAAGCTGAGCGCAACTACGATGCTAGCGATCGTGAGGCCCTTGCTCTGGTCTATTTTGCGGAGTATTTCAGGCACTACTTGTTGGCACGACCATTTGTTGCCAGGACGGACAATACTGCGTTGACTGCACTCCGGAACCTGAAGGAACCCCGCGGACGGAAAGCACGTTGGCTTGACTGTTTATCCGAATATGAATTCCGAGTCGTCCACCGTCCAGGTCGCCAACATCTGAATGCTGATGGTCTGTCGCGCTTGCTAGCCGAACCTGAAGCACATGTGCACAGTGAGTCTCCCCCACTGGCACGAACGCCGCCGCAAGATGCTGCCCCGTCTCCTCCGCCGAGTCCGCCGCCTCTTGCCCGTGATGTTCCGTTGTCAGCTGATGATGAAATGCCACTTGCTGCTGATGTTCCTCCGGCTGCCGAGATTATTCCTCCGGCCGTTTTTATTCGTCCTCCTGGTTCCTCTGCCGCTGGACCGTCGTCACCTGATTGTTTCAAGCCTCAGAGTCTTCTTGCTCCGTATGCTGATCCTGCTCTGTCAGAGTGTTTCACCCGATATGATGCTGCCAGTGGCAAGTTTGTTCGTCCGCCTGAAGCCGCTTCCCGTCCTCCCGACTGTCAACCGCCTGCCGTTACTGCTTCTCGTCCTGACCCGATTACGCTGTCCAATGATGATTTTCCGCCGCTACAGCCGCCGTCGTCTGATCCGGTCCGTACTTCTTCTCCTGTTTCTCGTCGTTCTGGCCGTGTTCGCACTGCACCTGCTCGACTAGCTGACTATGTCCTGGACTGAGTTTATTATTTGGTTTGTTTTCTTTTGTTTGTTTCCTAGGTATTTCGTTCATTCCCGTGGACGTGAATTTTAGCTAGGGGGGCACAGTGTAATAGGTGTATGTATGCTACTCACTATTCGTATTTCCCGCTCGTTCCCCTTGGCAATGAGCCACTCAGATAGAAGAGCGCATGCTCCAGGTTCCGTTCTGTTCTAGTCTAGTCCGTCTTGAGTTGTCGTTGTCCTGTTCTCCTTGTCTACACTCTTCTCGAATACTTCTATAAATTATCCAATCATATAAAACCCCTGTGTTCCGGTGTGAGGGGGCATCATTAGCCGGGAGCAGCTAACAGAGGTGAGCAGGATGACATTCTGTATCCATATGCGCCCAAACCTACTTGACAAGGAAGAGTCGCTCATTCATAGTGGCTGTGTTTCTTGTCGTGGCCACGACTAGAGCGGCGAGTATAGCTATGGGGAGACGTCTACATCCATGGCAAGGAAGGAGAATGACATGGACTAGGACGGACAGAGAACCAATGCCGCTTGTTAACGATGTGCAGTCTACTGGACCTACTTGGTCCGACTTATTAAAATGTGGTCTTCCCTTCAAAACTCAAGCCTATGTCCAAAGGAACACCTGTACTAAAAAATCGATCAAGAGACGATAGATAGATAACTACTGTGTCGTTTCTTGGCCTAACCTTCTAGTTTTCATCTCTGCTGGTGTCTCAGGGCGCTTCTTCAAGTGCGTCAACCTGCAAAATGGCGACATTTTTTTTCATCTCCTCCAAGCTACACTGCGCTTCCTTGATTTTTTCACTCCATAGGCACGATTTAGACGATCGACTTCGCCTCCTCTTCGTGCAGTACGACTGCCAGAATGGTGGCTGTAGGTCTTTTCGCCTGACGCTGCCACAACACTTTCAAATGAGGCGAACAAGTAAACCACCACGCATAAAAAAATCACTTCTCATCACCGTGTGCCGCGCGCGTAAAACTACTGAGTCTGATCTGTGTCGACATGACTGTCACACAGTCAGCTGCATCAGACCATGCGTGCTCTTCCCTGCCTGTTTCACGAATTCACTGGCCCCGGAGACTGGCGATCTTGTGACGCATCGCGATCGCGGCTCCGAGGAGTCGGTGAGGACTCCGCACCATTCACGTATTCACCCTTTCTGCACTTCCGTTTTCCAGCCAGGTTGTCGCCTGAAAGTCGACCTCAAGGGCGGTTGTTTATATCGATCAACTTCTCGACGATCTCTTCTGTGCTCTTGATTCGCCGCCACATCGTGAACGATTGCGAGAGAGATCAGCACAAACTGGACGGAGTGATGCAGGTGCTTTCTGCACGAGTTTCTGGATGACGCGTTTGCTGAACTTGATGCTTCCAAGGAAACAGCGACTGCAGTGATTTCAATCCGCCAGGAAGCACTCGAGAACGATCGCCCAGGAGTTTCTGGTACTCCGTGACAATTCCCCATCGCAGTGGGGTGTTGATTTCAGCACCAGGCCTTCTCTGTGTTGCGCGGGAAGCAACAGGAGTCCTCTGACGACAGAATTTGCACGCAAAATGCTCGAGTCGACTAGGATCCTGAGACGCTGCCTCCTTTGGGGTTGGAGCCATTTCTTCTTCATTATCACAAATCGACAACTGAAGGATAGTGTTAGGTAGCTGGAAAGTTTGTTTCGTCCTGAGATTATTTGAATTTGTTTGGCTGACGTTCGAAGCGAAACGCACATTTTAATAAGTCGGACCAAGTATATGTAGGTGCGAGGGCAGTACACCAATGGAGCTAGATCTCTGGCACAGCACAACTAGCAACATGAAAGGATTAGTTCATCTTGATATAGGTGATCGGAGAGAGTATGACGTTTTGTCTTGGTAAGATGTGACGTTCCCCAACCCAGCGAAAAATATAGTCACAACATCATAATGCAGGATATGAAAATTCGTATTGCATGATAAAATGACATGAGTCATGATGAAATGTAGATCTGTTATTTCTTCTTTCTTGGATCTTCTGATTAGAACACAAGTGCTCATTCTTCTTGTATTGCTTGCACACCTGCTAAGCTTTGTCTCCACTTGGTGTCCCATGTTTTCTTGGAGTTTGGGAAGGTCTTGGAATCCTTAGTGTCATTGATACTAGCCATGATGGAAGTTGGATTATAGACATCACTTTGGCATGAAAAAAGAAAATTCCAAAAATTATGCCTAAGCCACCTTTTAGCTTGGCTCGACTCATATCCGGTATATTACTATAGCCGCCAACCTTGTAGGCGATACGGACTGTATATGCATGGTTCCACTGTATTCCTTGACCGTATTCCCCGTTTCATACCAGAAACGTGTTTTCCTGATGACGGGGCAAGCGTGAAACTGTCAGTTCCATTGAAAATACTCTTCCAACTTACTAGTAATAATATCGTTGACAAATTATTGATCGAGGTTTCTGCCCTCCGAAGTCTTTTATCTCAGAGAGTCGTTTTTCTTGCAGGAAGCGGCTTTTCCCGTCACTGCATGACCTGTTGTTTATTTGGTCTTCTTGGGTGCATTATAAACTGTACTGACGTGGACAGTCTTTTCATACATTTCATTATACTGTTTCCATGTCTCCTTTTTGTACAGCTGAACAGATTCAGTCAGGACCATTCCCTACATCACAGAATTTAATCTACACTGGTGCTACTTACAACATACCATGCATATCAAGTGGAAACTTTCCTCTCAACTCATCTTGGAACTCAACATTAACTCTGGACACACAGATGATACAGACGGTGACACCTAGGAATATGGTGAACTCAACGTTCAGCTTCCAGCAGAATGATTCACAGATTGTGTTTACAGAAAGTGATACATCAGGTGTTACCTTTAATGTAATCTGTACGACATCGTATACTACACACTTTGATTGTTATGGAATGGGCTCAAATCCTCCGCGTCCACAAAGTGTGATTGACACATGTGTAAATGCTTCCAAATCAAAATCTTCCACTGTCTCTGTCACTATCCAAGGTTGGTATTATTATGTTCAGAATTACTTGGTTTGAGTGAAAAAGAATTATGATGTGAACACTGACAATTTCAGATGTATAACCTGTTACTGCTACTATGGACAGCAGTGTTGCCAGCCCAGTCGTACACTGTACGACACGTTGTCTTCATGAAGGTTGGGGTACATACAACGGAGAGGTTAAGATGCACAGTATTTCTGACTTGACGTGAAAGTTCAGCTCGCGTTATTTGGCTCGTGCATCGAAGAACAACGCGAGTGACGTGAAGCTCACGTCGACGTTTTACGCCAAATTCGACGTGAAACTGCACGTCACGTCGGAAATACCGTGCATCTTAACCCCTCTAATGAAGGTAACACATTATCTAGTGCTGGAAGAATACCAGTATCGCGAGCAGTACGCCTAGCACCAAATACCTATCTAAGCGTTTTGGTAAATTCCACATGTAAACAGCACAGTCACTGCTAACAGTAGAGAATCATTCCACCAGCCATCTACCTGGACACCGGACTTTAACCTATTTTCACCATTTCGGTTTTGACCGCACGAAACCAAGCCTTTCATTGTCCGTCAGGCGAAATAGCACGTCATAGTACATTCGAGATCAGCGGGAAGAAGATGACGACGTCCACTAATTTAGTATCTGTGCACACGAATCTGCTGTGTGTGTTACTCTGTGTGTCAGCTATGGCATCATTGCCTGTGGTTCCATACCTAGCACGTACGTCTGAACCATCCTGCAAAGTTTAAATGACGTAGGTTGAGCGATCGCTCCGCGAAACATACTTTTTGAAATTCTCTTCATAGTATATCTTCCACCATTGAAATTTCGGATTTCTTCGAATTTTTTGCTGAGAGGGGTGGCTTGCAACCTCGATATGGCTTGTTCCAGGCATGCTTTGGAGCCATCACCTGTTGAAGTAGTGGCGGGGATCTGCCCTGCAACTGCTACAACAAAAAATGATTCGATCTGAGAAAGGGTGAGACCGCGAATCTCGGTTGAATATTGAGTATTTCAAGCCTTTTCACGACGAAGATGGAGTTCTTTTTGGAGATGGACGTCGCGGCAAAGGACATGGTGTCCGACTTCTGGCGTCTGGTGAAGCCAGGGATAATTTGTCCAGTCAGGTCGGCAGCCTAACCGTCGGTAAGCTTGTGTTTGGATCCCGTTCTGCTCGATGTGGTAGATCACAAACAATTTTGATATTGCACAAATTGATCTCAGCATCGTGCGTACGGTATTTTATATTCAGAAAATCCCAAAGTGTCTCTGTGTGGCCGTCCTATGCCACGAGAAACTCCAATCAGGCTCCTATGTCCTCTGCCTTCATGATTGAATGTCCACTTCGTTTGAACAACGAACACAACAATCGAGGACGGCTTTGCAATGAAAAATACAGCTATACTGGAGCTGAAAAAAGAAGAAAAAAACGTGCTCAGGATGAGACTCGAGTACACGCATACTCTCCCAGCAGGTGAAACGCAATTTTTTGTGAAAAATGCGTGTCGCCGACTAACCAGTAATTTCGCCTGACGATGCAGGTTTTGTTTAAAGGATTTCAACTCCGTCAATTCTCAGCATAATGGACATAACTACAGTACTTAGGGACCATCGCAAAAGTTCGCAGAAGCCCCTGAAACGAAGAGCATACGTTTGGGGGGGGGGGGGGGGGGGGAGGGAGTCCGCGTCGAAAATCGCAAAACGGGCTTCAATTCAAAAAAGTATTGACGACATGTAGGAGCTGATATAGATTAGCATGCCATCACAGCCGGCGTAGATCACTTGTCAGGACGCGTAGTCCATTCATGCAACTGCGCGTGTCGCGTAGCTGGCTGCCTGTACACTGTGTGTAGTCTAGTACCAAGAGTCCATAAAACGCATGGTTTATGGACTCTTGCTAGTACTAGTACTAGCAGCGGTAGTATATTATAATAATTATTATGTGTGAGCTTCAGTAGTATATATAAAGCCGGTTTGATGGTAGGTACATGGTCCAGCCCAAATGGGGTACTATTAATAGTACCCCATTTTGGGGGTAAAAAAACCGGGCGCCCGGTTTTTACGTACAAAAATGATTTTTCGGGTGTTGGAGGTGGTGAAGGGGGTATGACATCATGATTGTACCCCAATGGTTGTACCTGATCATTGCCCCGGACGGGAGTGGGTATAAAAAGTAGATACTTCAAGTACACTTGGTCCGACTTATTGTGTGCTTCGGTTCGAATGTCAAGCAAATAAATTCAAATAATCTCAGGACGGAATAAACTTTCCAGCTACATACCACTGTCCTTCAGTTGTCGATTTGTGATGTTGAAGAGGAAATAGCTCTAACTCCAAAGGAGGCAGCGCCTCAAGATCCTAGTCGACTCGCGCATTTCGCGTCCAAAGTTTGTCGTCAGAGAACTCCTGTTGCTTCTTGCGCAACACAGAGAAGGCCTGGTGCTGAAATCAACACCCCAATGCGATGGAGAATTGTCACGGGGTACCAGCAACTCCTGGGCGATCGTTCTCGAGTGCCTCCTGGCGGATTGAAATCGCCGCAGTCGCTGTTTACTTCGCAGAATTTCAGTGAACTCGTCATCCAGAAACTCGTGCAGAAAGCACCAGCATCCCGCCGTCCAGTTTGCTGATCTCTCTCGCATTCGTTCACGATGTGGCGGTTTCACGAATCAAGATTACAGAATAAATCGCCGAGAAGTAGTTGATCGAAATAAATAACCACGGCTGAGGTCGCCTTTCAGGCGACAACCTGGCTGGAAAACTGAAGCGCAGAAAGGGTGAATTGTTCTGCGGATACGGTGCGTGAATGGTGCGGAGTTCTCGGAGCCGCGATCGCGATGTGTCATCGCTACATCAAGCTTATGCTAAAGCTCCGTCACAAAATCTCCCGTCTCTGGCACGCGGGGTCAGTGGATTCGTAAAAGTAATAAGATACTAAACAGGGAAGAGCACGCATGGTTAGACGTGTCAACATATCATGTCGACACAGATCTGTTTCAGTACGCGCCATCCCTAAGGTCGCTTTTCAGGCGAAAATCTGGGTGGAAAACTGAAGCGCAGAAAGGGTGAACTGTTCTGCGGATACGGTGCGTGAATGGTCCGGAGTTCTCGGAGCCGCGATCGCGATGCGTCATCGCTACATCAAGCTTATGCTAAAGTTCCGTCACAAGATCTCCCGTCTCCGGCTCCGAGGCCAGTGGATTCGTAAAAGTAAGTTACTAAAGAGGGAAGAGCACGCATGGTTACACATGTGTCGACATATCATGTTGACACAGATCTGATTCAGTACGCGCGCGACACACAGTGATGAGAAGTGATTTTTCATGCGTGGTGGTGTCGCCTCATTTGAATTGAAGGTGTCGTGGGACCGTCAGGTGAAAACACCAACAGCCACCATTCTGGCACGAGGAGGAGGCGAAGCCGATCGTCCAAATCGTGTCTATGGAGTGTAAAAATCAAGGAAGCGCAGCGTAGCTTGGAGGAGACGAAAAAAATGTCGACGTTTTGCAGGGAAACGCACTTGCAGATGCGCCAGACCACACAGTAGTTATCTATCTACCGTCTCTTGGTTGATTTTTTAGTACAGGTGCTCCTTTGTACCTATGCCTGAGTTTTGAAGTGAAGGGCACATTTTAATAAGTCGGACCAAGTAGAATACTGGATATGGGGATCATAAATATAATAATGAAGATGTTGGTGTTTTTTCCGTGACCCACCCCACCCCTCCTCCCGCTCCACCTCCCCATGCAATTTTTTCGAAAATGGGCATGCTCACACACGTCACAAAGGTCAATTCTTGATAGATACGATACATATTACAAAGAATAATCATAATGGAACGAACACGGAAGATCGCAATGGAGAGGAGGAGGAAGGTAGTATTTTACCTTATAAAATTCAGTGTCTATCCCTCAAACCAGTGAAAATTCAGTTCTTGTTGCCGTAGGTAGTATTTTACTATATAAAATTCAGTGTCTATCCCTTGAACCAGTGAAAATTCAGTTCTTGTTGACATCATCATGATTTCATCAAGCTCAGGTATCAGATGAGAGACTACAAAGTTTAGTCTTCGAATACAATGTACATGTAAGGATGGATTAACCCATGACCTCTTCCGTGACACACAGTACGAGGTGGAGTTATCGGACGCTCTGATGTACACGAATGCCCCTAATGATTCCAGATAAGTAAGCAGAGTTACTCTGACCTAAACATATTACATGCACACTACCTTGGAGAACACGGTGAAAACGGTGGGCGCCAAAACCAAAAAGTTGCTCGCGGCATGCCGTGTCTTTTTTCTCTTCTTTTTGTTCGCATTCGGAATCTTTCGATTGGGATAAGTCAATTAATTTTTTTTATCTAAGCCCGTAATCGAAAGGTCCATGAGGTGTAGAATTATTCTAGCTTTCCTCTCGTATAATTCTTTTGGACATACAACATTTCTTACTATGGGTGGACTTGCAAGTGATCTCACTTACGGGCTCACCGCACCTCAGTAAGTGGGTGAGGACAAGGTGTAGAAAAAGGATTGACGGCATGTCAGGGTATCCGTCCTGGGATCGTCTGAAGCGTCGAATCAAATTTTTTTTTTTTTTGCTCCGTCAAGAGAGTAAATAAGGGAGATTTTAGTGCTGGTCACGCTCTATTTGGGACAGTACATGGGATAAGTATGGATTATCCCATGAGTAGTCTACTAGTGGTATACCACCAAATATTTTCACGAGTGCGTTAGCACGAGGTAAAATATAAGGGACACGGTATACACAGAGTACGAATGGTATAATCCATTTATCCCATGTATTGTCCCAAATACAGCGTGACAAGCACTAAAATCTCCCTTATTGGCATGATCCGGGGAATATTCGTGACCCCAGTGGGGTATTATTGACCCAGTGACCCCAGCGGGGTATAATATTGACCCCGGCGGGGTATATCGCTCTATATACATGTACCCCGCTCAGAACCAGGGAGTAGTACAATACAACTCCCTGCTCAGA